GATCCAAAATTAAAGTATAAGGGGATAGCAGGCAAAACCTTTTCCCAAAACCCAGTTGCAACCCCCTCGCTGACTCCCCACCCACTTGACTCACTGCGTGAAAGGGATTAAAGTTAGACCCAGGTTTTCACCTCCACCTCCCTTCCCTCCACCTCACCTCTGTTCCTCTCTGCTTGCTCACCAGGCTCCTCCCAGCCATGGTGCCATCTCAGGGCAGACCTCTGCACTCACTGCCTCCCATTCCCACCCCAGGAGTGCAGGGCCTGCCCCCTCACTTGATTTGGGGCCTTCAAGAGGCCTTCCCATATCTGAAGAAGCATGTCCCACTCTTTCAGTCTTTGATCCCTAGACCCTCTATTTCTCTTGACTGCAGTTACCACAGCCCGAGTCAATATCTTGGTTTATCTCTTCCTCATGGCCCCTACCTTGAATGTGAGCCCCTGGAGGATCCCCATGTGCTTCTGCCTGCACTATCGTCTTCACTCAAACTCCTTTCCTCCCTGCAGCGGGAAGCCTAGAGCCCAGGGTTGAGGTCCTGATTAACCGGATTAATGAGGTCCAACAAGGTGAGCTCAGGAATTTTAGCTTGTCAGCCAGGAGGGCCCGGTGCAAAATGAAAACACAGGACCCCTTGTTCAGAAATTACTAAGTATTGCACAACAGCAACTGCAGAGCACTAAACCAAGCACGGGTCCATCCAAATGCAGCTGTTCTAGTCCTGGGCCCATTATCCTGGCCCTGCTGCAGACAGAGCCCAACAAAAGCCTCTGGAAGCCTCATTTTTCTGCTCAATAAAATCTGGGCCCCTCTGGGTTTGCTCGAAGACAAATGTGAAATGTCACTGTTTGCAAGGAATGGTGTAGCTGGAGGCTGCCCTGACAATGTCTGTCCTGCTCTTTGGCACAGCAAAAAAGAAAGCCAGTGAGGAGCTGGGAGAGGCCCGGACTGTCTGGGAGACCCTGCAGAAGGAGCTGGACTCGCGTAAGTGTGCCAAGGCTCACTCAGAGGTCCCCAACGTCATGCCTCCCTGAACCCAGTATTCCAGGCACTGAGCATGTGCACTGTGGCCAAGGGCCCCTGCCCCCTCTCCAGCCTCAGGTCCTAGCCGACCAAACTCCCCCTTGCCTACTGTGGGTAGGAGTATTCCCCAAACACCCTCCAAGCATACTTCCACCTCATGGCCTTTGCTAGGCTGTTCCCCCCAGATAATATCGGTTCCCATTGCTTCACATCATCATTATCTCTAGCTCAGATTTCCATTCTCAAAGAGACCCTCCCCAGTCATCCCGTCCAAAGACAGCACCCTGTGCCACCTGATTACATGCCCCTTCCTGCTTGACGTGTTTCCTCACAGTCTTGACCCATTTCAGATGATGTGTTTCCTTTTTCTCTTCCCTCCATATAAACACGCCTGCATTCCACAGGGTCCTCCGGTCAGTCACCCTGTATCACATCAGCGCCCTTGGTGCTCACAGGGAGTGTGGGCACAAGAAGGGAGGGGGTTTGCCTTGAGGGGCCCACATTTGTTTTCGAAGGAGTGCTGTACCAAACTGCTCGTGTCCCTGAGGGTACAGTGGGTGGTGCCTGATACCTGAACCTGTTGCTGTGTTTTCCAGTGAGTGGAGAGAAAGTGCGCCTGAAAGAGATCTTGAGTAAAAAGCAAGGTAACGACAGCTACGCTGCCCCCGGCTTCTGCCTTCGCCCCTGCGGAAGCTCACTCCTGCAGGCACCGGAGCCTCTGAACCAGCTGGCATCCCTCCTGTGGCTTCCGCCCGATTTGTAGCAAATGACAAAGTCCTACCACGTGTCCATGAGACTCCACATGATGGAACCCCGTTACCTCTCCACAAACCTGATGCCTTGATGGTTCGCCGCGGCCTAGCATCCGCGGGGAAAAGCTTATTATCTGCGCGGGGTGCACAGAGGGCGTCTGTCCGGTGGCTGCGGAGAAGAGGTTTGGATTCTGAAGGGAACACAAAAGTCAGGACACATTTTAAATCTTGTTGTTTGATTTTCTGCGGGGACGGTGTAGGCACGTGGTAAAGAATGAGGGGAATGTCGTAGATCACAGCTCTCCTGTCAAATGGAAAGGCCCATGAGTGTCTTCTCACCCCAGCTCTCGCAATAGGCGGGCCTGTTGTGGGTGTTCTCACTCACTGGGGATACTCATTTTTTTGTGCTGAATACCAATTCAATTCTTCTAGCTGGTTTTTCTTCTAAGCCTTTTACTCTTTCCACCGGTCCCATGGCTGGCTGTTCACTCCCCTGCCTATCTGTCCCTTCAACCTCTTATCAATCATCCATTATTCTTCATCCACCTGACTATTTGTGTATCTATCTCTCCACCTCCTGAACACTTACTCAGCTCATTTTGTGACCAGAGGCACTAAGTCCTGGCATCCTCAGATTGGGAAATTCAGATGAGATGAATGTGTGTGTGCTTCTGCACTTGGCCATGTCCCTGTTGATCTCCCTAATCCTCACCAAGATATTTCCAGGGGGCATGTGCTCATGTCCCCCG